TTTTTTTTTTTTGCAGAGTCTGCTTTAATTTTGCCTCGTAGTCAGCATGCAGCGTTCGTTCTCTAAAGCGGGCTTTCCACAAGCTGTCTCCCTTTGTTGGGGGTTTTTCTTTGTGTCCTACACTTGGGGTTCCTCACCCACCAGCACTCCCATTTGCAATAGGGCTGTGGCCTTGACACCCTCTCTCTGACATTTCCTAGAGGAGACCTGTAAAATACTGCTAATCCACAAGAAACAGAGCTTTCCATTGCTTCTGGTGAAAGAAGTTTTGCCAGGGGAGATCGGGGGATGCGCCTGATCTCTCCTCAGTCCCCGCCTGAGCTCTGCAGCATGTCTCTCACTCAATCACTGTCGGGCAGGACCGGCATCAGGGCAGCAGGAGGGTGCTCGAGGTTAGGAGCCATCTCTTTGTAGCAAAGCCACAGCACGAGCGGAGCTACCTTCCCTGGAATAAACTGGATTTTTTTTTTTTTTTTGTTACTCTGCGGTTCATTTTTGTCTAAAGACATTTCCAGTGAGAACCGTCCCCTGAGACACCTCGGGTGAATGAATCAAAAGTGCTGTGGTGGCTCCCGGGTGGGATGGCAGGCCCTGGAAGAGGTAAGAGGTAAGGTGGGTTTATTTCTTTGCCATTAGGAATCCACATGCTCTGTCTTCAGCTATTTATTTTGCAAAATTGCAGCCATCCCGTTAACTGCAAGCCGCCTTATCCCACAGCCACCATGACTTGGACCTGATTTTAAGGGTTTTTTTTCTTTTTTTTTCAAATGATTCCTCCACTGTTGGACAGAATTGGGTGGAAGTATAGCATCTGGAAATAGCTCTTAGTAGAGGCACCAGGCTAGCCAGCATGAAGAGATCATGGGGAGGGAGTTAAAATGAAAATCGCGTTCGTAGAAGGTGCTGAGTGTCTTGCACAATGGTGTTCCTTGCCCCAAGCCTGCCCACCAGAACCTTTTGATTATCTTTATTTTCAAGTAGATACCCATGAATAATAACGAGCAAGAAGGCGTCGATCCTAATGGATGCTCATGGAGGCTGTATCTCTCAATTTAGAATGAATTATACAATTGTACATCTCTAAATAAATGTTTATAAGGTGAAAGGCTCCAGCTGTGTTGGTGTCCTGCAGATCCTTGCCCCAGCCTGCTCTGGTTCTGCAGCCCCTTCATGCTGCCTTCCTCTTATCCGCACAAGTGCTCGATAAATGAAATTTGGCATCTTTGCCACCCCGGCAAGCCCCAGCAGCCAAGAGTGCCGAGGCTGCAGGGGCCTCCCCAGCGTGGGAGCGGGAAGGATGGGGAGGCGATGGAGAGGAGGTGGTGCCCCCCGAGTTAGCCTTGGGTCCCAGCGAGGTGGTGGCAAACACTCGGCAGGACGTTTTTGCTTCAAACTGGTTCCATTGGGGTGCTGCCAGCAGGATGCCTTGTCCTGGGGGGGCCTCACCTTCCTCCCTTCCCATTGAAGCACTGCTGTTAGCCCGGTCCTTCGCATCCTCCATCTGAGCCCTTTTGGGGGATGCTTTATTCTCATCCCAGACACCACCATCCCGGTGTTCTAAGGTGCCCTGCAGACAGGTCCCTGTCCGGGCAGGGCAGCGGACAGGAAGCTCAAGCTGCCTCTGTCCTGGGCAGAAACATTGGCTCAGACATGCTTCCCGATAGTGGCATCTCAGAAAACACCGTCTGCTGGCCCAAAATGGGGGGAAAACATTTGCCTCCAGGGTTAGATTTGGGGTCTGTTCTCCCAAACAGGTCTCTTTGTCCCACCACCCCCTCCCTGGGGCAGCAAAAGGCTTTTCCTGCAGTGCCTAGGGCAGCCTTGACCACACCAGTGCTCCCCTCCTCCCTTCCCCAGCCCTACACACTAAAGGGCTGGAGATTTGGATTTTTTTTTTTTTTTCCCCCTTTTTTCCCCCTCTCACAGGACAGGGGTCACGTCATTTCCATTTCCCCTCCACACTGCATTCCCGGCAGCGGTGGTGAGTCAGCCCTGCCGTCATCCCCTCACAGTGCCCGCGCCGGCACAGAGAGTCCAGCACAGACCAACGCAGCCACTGGGCAAAACACCCCAGTGCCACCAGCATAGACCACCGCTTGCTCCACTTTTTTAAAAAAAAAATTCTGCAATCAAGTGCATCCACACCCCAGGTTTTTGGGGTGGTTTTGCTGCATTTCAGGTCATTCCCAGCCTGGAGCAAGGAGAGATGCTTTGCATTTTGGTGTGCTGGTCCCTGCCCACTAACCAAAGGTGTGGGCAATTTGGGCTCCCCATTAGTTCCTTCCCCACCCAGCGGCTCATTAACCCAAGCTCTTAATTGGGGCAGCAGCCAGCGGAAAGGAGGCAGCAGGGGAAGGCAGGTGCCCCACGAGCATCCTCCTCCAGCAGGTAGGGAGTGAAGGGGACCCCACGTCTCACCACCATCATTTTTGGCAGCAAAACATCAGGTTTTAGCATTACCCTTAGGTTTAAATCCTTGTTGCTGCTGATGCCCCAAAAATCTCCCTCTCCCCACCACTGCAATGGCACCCAGGAGACCCAGGCCAATTCTGGTGCCACAAATAGCCCCATCATTGCCTCCTAGGTCCCAAAATATCCCTCTGCCTGCCCCCCACTCTGGGACAGGCTAAATACAGCCTCACTAGAAACTCCTGGCACTTCCCAGAGAGGTGCCAAACCCCAGGGACCTTGACATCTCCCCAAAATTTGTCACAGAAAGGCCATTTTGCTATAAATAGAAGCAGAGCTTCACCTGCCATCACTCGTGGCTGGGGTTGTGACCATGGGGCGTTTCGGGGGCACGTGGACCTGCACGGAAGGTTTTTGCCAGGCGCACCACCCCCACCCCCAGCATAGAAGCTATCCAGTCACTCCATGTTTGCTTTTGTGTCTTTTGGTGGGTTTGGTTTGTTTTCTTGGCATTTTCTACAATGCCCTGATAATTTCTTGTAATAATAATTTTTTTAAATGGGATGTAGAGTCCCCCTGCCCACCCACGGAAAGGCTGGCAGAGGGCGAGCGGGGGGCCATGCCACTGGTGACAGCATGGTGAGACATGGGGTAATCCCCTCCGTGTGCTTAGAAGCTCGATATATAAAAATACATATATTTATGGAGCTATATTTGTATATCTATGTAGCTTCAAGACACAAAATGCCTCAGCAGGGGATGACGGCACAGCCTGAGCTGCGGCTGTCACTGCCATCACTGCGCTGTAAATCTCTTGCTGCAGCTGGAGAGCAAAGTGCCATTTCTGTCCCGCGCTTGCTGTGCCAAAACCTGCTCCTCTTGCAATTTTGCCAAAAAACAAGGTTTGGAGTTTCCTTTCCAGCCCCCTCAGAGGCTCTTGGGCTGTTTTGGCAGTGGCTTGGCCACTGGACAACACTGCAGGGCACCACAATACCCAAGCCTGGCACAGGGATGTGCCTCACAGGTGGCGGGGGGGGATGATCCTCTGTCATGTGACCCAAGAAATGCCCCAGTCACCAAAATTTTGAGTGAACCCCCCCACCTTTTGCAGCATCTGGGTTTGTAAAGGCATGTTTCCAGTTGCATCCACCCAGCACCGCTTGTTGCTCCAATTGCACCTAGGCGGTACTTATATGGGTGAGCAACCTTGGCTTGAAATGCTCTGGTTGTGGGTTGTCCTTCTTAGAAACGGCTTTTTTTTTGGTGAAAATTTTCATCAAAAAGTCACTGTCCACAGAGGGGAAGGAAAAAACCTAACCCAACAACAGAAGCCTGAGCCAGAACAAACTCGCATTTGAACGGAGATGTTTTTCTGAGGGCTCTTCATTTGCCAAGCAGCTTAATTACCCTTAGTGAAAGCCTTTTCTCCCAGTGCCTCTAATTGCATGTCCAGGTAATTGCTCTCATTTTTGCAGAGCATGTTTGGGGCTAGGGAGCACTCCCCTCAGCAGGTGTGACTCTCCCCAACTCCCTCCCTCACAATTTTAGCCATTTCTCAGTGTTTTCTGCTGAAACACACCACCACCCTTGTAGCTCCCAGGGGGAGCAGCAGCCCCTTGCTGGGGGTGGGGGGTGGCAGGGCAGTCCTCCCCAGGCACAGGCAGGCACCTGGCTGGCTCAGGGGCCTGACTCAGCTCCCCCTGAGTCACAACCCCATGGCCTGCAATTAGAAGCAGGCACAGCAGGATTCCCCCCCGTTCCCAAAACCTCCATCTCCCACCACAGGGGCTGCCCTGCCAGGGAAAGGCTTCCCAAAGACGCCAGTAGGTATTTCAGACCATTGGGCAGCAGTTGCATCATCCCTCTCCAGACCAGAGTGACAACAGGGAGACAGCAGGTTACCGATTAAGACAAGTTTTATTAGAAAAGTAAAAAACCACCCCGACATGATTGCATAGGAAGTCTTGCACTTGAACATCAAGTGTATGAATGTAAACTGTAACCAATGAAGGGCCCACGGCACATCACAGCGAGGGGTCCTGCCCTGCATCACCTCACACACCCCTCTCCCACCACTCTTCCCTCTCATGATCAAAGACTCAATGCGATTCCAGAACCCCTCCCTCCTGCCTTACTGGGAGCCTATGCAGAGCTGCCCAGGTGCCAGCAGTAGGGTTTTGTCTTTGATCCAGACCTACAGCCCAGCCGTCACTCACTCCCACACATCCCCTCCCCCAGAAACCCCATTGATTACAATCCTTGTTACAAAAAAAAAGCCCCATGATTAATCAGTCAACAGGAGACTGTCTGCCCCCCCAAGCAGCCCCGCTGCCGCATCTGGGAGCCTGGTCACCGCAATCATCCCACAATCATCGACAGTGTGAAGCGACCTCCGCCTGGGTCCTGGTCTGCTCCGCATCAGGGATGCTCCGGCACAGGCAGGCACCCTGTGGGGACCTCCGCCTGCCCAAACTACTTCCACCTACAGCCCTACTCCAGCCTAACCTAAACTACAGCAGCTGCCAGGAGCCACCACACTCTAACCAGCTCTTTGAAAGCACTTGGGTAAGTCGCTCCTCCAGCTCAGCCCATCAGCACTCCTCTATGAGCAGCTGCTCAGAGCTGTACAGCTTCTTCTTGATGACCCTGAAGCCAGTGCTCAGCTTCAGCGGCGTGAAAGCTGGCCCCGAGGTGAAGAGTCCCTGGATCTTGGGCCAGAGGCGGGAGTCCAGCCGGAGCACCAGAGTGAGCTGGAAGGTGGGCACCACGGCGGGGTCCACAGCGATGTGCCCCACATCGTGGCAGGCCTTGCTGTGCTCCACGCAGAGGTCGAGGAGGGCCCCGCGCAGCCCACAGGGCTCGCTGCAGGCCAGGCGCAGCAGCTCCGTCCTCACCTGTGCCCGCAGCTGGGCCGGCATGAGGAGTCGGGAGCAGCGCTTGGTGCCCAGCGGGGCTCTGCCCAGCGTGGCCTGCACCAGGTCCATCAGGTTGGCGCACAGCAGCTCATCCTCAGGGTCGTGCAACAGGTCCAGGTCCGGCAGGGAGACCCCCTCGGCGTATTCGGCATCTGCGGAGGGGACAGGAGGCAGGTCAGCACCAGGGGCTCGGGGGGGTGTGACTG